TCTCAAATAAATAAATAAAATCTTTAAAAAACAACAACAACAACAACAACAAAAATATAGGCTTGCTATGGAAAAACATTAACTGTATAAGGAAGGACTTTTATAATAAATTTCCCCCCTTTCTGGACATTATTTTTCGACTCAAATAAAACAAAACAAAAAAAAGCAATATTATTCACAATTAAAATACTTACCAGCAAAGTAAGCTTGAACTCTCTGTGCTCTTGAAACATTTTAATTAGTATGACCACAAAATAATCCCAACAGGAAGTCAATTAATATCTCTAATCTTGTTAGCAATAATCAAGTATGATGAACATTTTAGGCCTATAAAGGATTAAGAGGGCCAAGAAAAGGCAGTGATACAATAGTTTAATTTCACTCTACCTGCTTGCATAATATTTATCTAAATTAGCTCTAGTAAACTAGATTAAGTCTTAACAACTACAAATTCTCCTACTGCCCCTGAATATCTCTCATGAAAAATAGCATACAGGAATCCATTATCATTTAAAGCTAAAATCTGATCCTGCCATTAAGATTTCTTCTGAATTTCAGAAGTAATAAAGCTAAACATCACCAGTATGAATTCCTCTAAAATGCACCTCCTTCCCCTTTCCCCAAACTTATTTGACTGTGTCTGTGTTCTACACCATCAGGGTTTATTTATAAAAATTCTTGGTATTTTTAGCTTTCTTAATCATCCACTAGTTTTCAGACATTAGTAAAATAAGAGTCCTGGTTAAGCAATACATTTCCAACTCCATCCTTAAATTAAGAGTGACACTGAACAGATCTGGAAACACATCTGGCAGATAACGACTGAAGGAGACAGACAGAGAGCAGAGAAGAGAGCATTTTTAATCCTTAAATGTCATCTGCTCCATTCTCAGTGTACCTACTTTCTGGACAGGGATAAAATACACTCTCTCCCCTCTCCTTGATGTTTTAGTTTTAGGGGGTACTTCATTTGTTTTGCAACTGCTCCTGGGCCTTTGATTCTTAGTAATAAGGTATTTTCTAAAGAATCACAGAGACTTTTTTGTACATGTGACAATTTCATTTGTCAGTTTTCAAAGCAAGGTCAGAAAATGTAGAAGTTTTTCCAACAATAACCTGCCTTGTCAAAATATGCAGTAATTCTACTTTCTGAATATCCGTAAGAACATCACAAAAAAGATCAACCAAAAAATATTTTACTACCACAGAGGAACACAATCTTATTTTCTAATATTCATCTAATGTCTTCTACACGCAAGGGGTGGCATTAGACACTTTACAGCCCTCATTTAATTTTCACAATATGCAAACAGGCATTTTTGCATTCTACTGATAAAATGAAACTCAGCAACTGGCTAAGGATCATTAGGGTTGCATTAACATATATGCTCTTTAAAATTTTACAAAATTTTTTTGAAAACTGAGAAAAGGGTGGAAATTTATCATCCTAGCATTATTATGATCATTTTTTTTAAAGATTTATTTATTTATTTAATTGACAGAGAGAGAGAGAGAGACAGCGTGAGGGGGAACACAAGTAGGGGGAGTGGGCGAGGGAGAAGCAGGCTTCCAGCTGAGCAGAGAGCCCGATGCGGGGCTTGATCCCAGGACCCTGGGATCATGACCTGAGCCGAAGGCAGTCGCTTAACCAACTGAGCCACCCAGGTGCCCCTATTATGATCATTTTTATTAGGTTTCAGTATGCTATGTGCATTCACTGTTTTCCATATTTCATTTTATTTCTCTATTACAGATTCCCAGAAGTAGACCAAGATATATAGATCATTTTATCAAAGGCCATGCTTTTTCATTTTTATCATGCTGCCTTCCTAAAACGACACCAGATGCAAGGACAAACAACTTCCCTTCTACCACAGGGGATATAATTCATCATAAAAATAAAACAAGTCATTTCAAAAGAAGTCTTTGTGACCTAGCAAAGAGCTTTGGGTTTGGAGTGGGACCAGGGGCGGAATCCCAGCTCAGTCTCTAGAGCTGTCTTCTTTGGGCAAGTCCCCAATAATCTCTCTTGTTCAACATCAGTCCCCTCTTCCCTCATCTTTCTAAAGGGGTTAATACTTACTCTGCAGGGTTATTGTGAGGATTATAGATAAAACCACTGTGCCTGGCATGTAGAAGGCATTGAATAAATATTAGAGAATAGGGGCGCCTGGGTGGCTCAGTTGGTTAAGCGACTGCCTTCGGCTCAGGTCATGATCCTGGAGTCCC